CTACACGTGTTAAGTGCTGAAAGTCTGCGTCTTTAGGTTTTTCCACTACTAGGCTAATGAAGCTAAAAGGTAAAGGAATCTTAGCGCTGTGGAAACTGTATGACTAGATCATCATATGCTTGCCACAAAATATGCCGTTGTTTTGTTAAGCCAAAATACTTGCTGATGCACCCAGGAAAAATGAACAAAACCTCACATCTCCAAAACGGTAACTTTACAGAAAAAGGAAAAAAGGTAGTTTATTTTTAATGTAAGTCAATGGAACCAGACTTTTTTTATGTAATTTTGGGCCATTTCCTTTGGTCCATTCATCACGAAATTTACACACACTATGAAGGCCAATATGCATTTTCAAATTCTTTCAAAAACAGAAAAATGGAGATACGAGGTTTTGTTCCAACAGCAGTGATGTGTGTGTGTGTGTGTGTGTGTGTATAGTCAAATAATTTTTGCGTGATTTACTTGAATTCATTGATTGCATATTGCTTAATCAGTCGTAATCTTCTTGTGTTGTGTGTAACCACCTGACATGACATTTTTAAAGGGAAATTCCACAGTTCATTTAAATCATTAAGATGTCATCAAAGTCATTCAGAGTGCTGAATTGTTCACAGTGGTGCTAATAGGAACCAGATGTCTGAAGAGGTTAACACCTCTAAAAGCTACATCAAAGAAAGATACTACATGAAATGGTTATGAATGCACTGCCTAATGTCTAAAACATTATCCACGACAAGCTTAAAAGAAAAGTGTATTTTGACTGGTCATTTTGGATAGTAAATAAAATGACATTGAAAGAAATCAAAAAGTAAAAAATACAAAAAAAAAAAGTAAAGCATTATTTAAAGTTGAAATATAGGGGATTAGGGTTTGGGACAGCTAACTCCCAGTAGAAAGTGCCCAAGTCATGATGACTTTGTATATTTTTAGCTTAGTACCATCTCAGTCAATGCTTTCAGTTTAAATAGATCAGAACATAATAATTGCAAGTATCCAAGGTCTGAATATTTATTTACTTACTTACTTACTTACTTACTGCGGGACCTCAGTTTGAACTAAACAAACAAAAAATACCAAACATCTGATGAATAAAAAAGAATATATATATCAATATGCATGTGTATAGGAACAAATGTATGAGACTTTAGTCAACATTATTACTGTAGTGCAAGGAGAGAGGACTACAGCTGAACAATTTAGTATACAATTATAGAATTATATATAAATATGCATAAAACATTTGCAGTGACAGTATCTATACAAACTTCTATGACTAAAAAATGTTCATGAATTGTGAAATGAAAAATCAGGAAATTGTTAATCAGATTTCTACCTTATGCAAATGAGCGCAGCCGCCGTACTGCCTTATCTAATTTGGTAAAAGTGCACTAGCAAATATGAAACTCTTTCAATAGCTAGAGAGGGGAAACAATGACTATCATGTTCTTCTTTGAATTCGTAACAATTTTACTGTACATAATGAAAATGTCTGGTTTTAAACAGGTTGAGAAACTTGAATCACACAGAGTTAGTTGCTAAGATAGCTAGCTTGCTAGTGAGATATCTCGCTGGCTCATTTGGGCGACTGATGCACATTAGAGAAATTGTAAGCTCTGTATAGCTAAACTGTAACTTTCATCATAAGCTTTGATGTAACATTAACTAAAACAGCATGTTTACTGCCATAGGTATGTTCAATAAAGCTTATGTTCTTTTTCTTCATTTTCAGAACAGAAATAACATAGAAACAGCTACCAACAGCAAGCATCCATGTGGCATGGCAGAACGTGGTGAGAAAAAGTGCAAGTGAACGCACACTCTTTCTCTGAGAGGTTTGATAAATACAGGACATTGTATGACATACTGTTAGATATAAGTTCAGACTTCAGGGTGATTGCTTCTACTGTTCTAGCTATGTGATGTACAGCCCCTTTCCCCAAAAGGTTGGGATGCTGTGCAAAATGTAAATAAAAAATGCAATGATGCGCAAGTCATTTAAATCCTATATTTAATTGAAAATAGTACAAAGATGACATATTAAATGTTGAGACTGAGAAACTTTATTGTTTTTTGAAAAATATATGCCCATTTTTAATTTGATGCCAACAACACGTTTCAAAAAAGTTGGGACAGGGTCATGTTTACCACTGTGTTGCATCACCTCTTCTTTTAACAACACTCTGTAAGCATTTGGGAACTGAGCAGACCAATTGCTGTAGTTTTGGAAATGAGATGGTTTGCTGTTCTTGTTTGATACAGAATTTCAGCTGCTGAACAGTTTGGGGTCTCCTTTGTTGTACTTTTCATTTCATAATGTGCCAAATATTCACAGTGGGTGACAGGTCTGCAAGGAAAGCCAGTTTAGCACCCAGACTCTTTTACTACAGAGCCATGCTGTTGTAATATATGTAGAATGTGGTTTTGCATTGTCTTGCTGAAATAAGCAAGGCCTTTCCTGAAAAAGATGTCATCTGGATGGCAGTATATGTTGTTCAAAACCTGTATATATATCATACAGCATTAATGGTGCCTTCACAGATGCAAGTCACTCATGCGCACTAATGCACCCCTCTATACCATCACAGATGCTGACTTTTGAACTGTGTGCTAATAACAAGCCCTCTCTTCTTTAGTCCGGAGAACATGGCATCCAAGATTTCCAAAAAGAATTAAAAATTTTCATTCATTGGACGACAGGGCACTTCGCCTCAGTCCATATTAAATGAGCTCAGGCCCAGAGAAGGTGGTGGTGTTTCTTGATCCTGTTTGTATATGGTTTCTTCTTTGCATGGTAGAGTTTTAACTTGCATTTGTGGATGCAGCGACGAACTGTCTTCACAGACAGTGGTTTTCTGAAGTGCTTCTGAGGTCATGCCATGATTTCCACTAAAGAATCGTGGCTGTTTGTAATGACGTGCTGCCTGAGGGCCTGAAGATCACAGCCTTACATACAGACATTTCTCTGATTGCTTTAATAGCATTATGTGCTGCAGATGATGAAATCCCCAAGTTCTTTGCTATTTTACATTGAGAAACATTATTCTTGAATTTTTGCACTATATGCCGGTGCAGTCTTTAACAAAGTGGTGAAGGTGAACCCCTCCCCATCTTTACTTCTGAAAGACTCAACCTGTCTAGGAGGCTCTTTTTACACCCAGTCATGTTACTGACCTGTTGCCAATTAACCTAATTAGTTGTGAGACGTTCTACCAAGTGTTTTTTTTTTAATATTACACAACTTTACCAGTCTTTTGTTACCCCATCCCAATTTGTTGTTGTTGAAACATGTTGCCGGCAAAGGGCATATATTTTTCAATAAACAATCAGATTTTATGGATTTAATTTGATATGTTTCTTTTTTTACTATTTTCAATTTGATTTAAATTATTTGCATATCATTGCATTCTGTTTTTATATACATATTGTACAGTGTCCCAACTTGTTTTGGAACCGGGGTTGTATTTTGTCAATTTTAATAGATAATCATATATCATACAGTGTCAGAAGGCACATTGGCCTGTTTGAGATTACCTACAACTTATTTCATGAAGTGATCTGTTGCAAGAACCCAGCCTATTTACCACCTGTAAGATGGCATGTCCTCTGCCTTTAACCCACCACTGCCAGAAGTGGCCTACAGGTCAGCCACAAGTACAACAGCTGATTCATTATTGTACTACTTGTGGCCCAGATGTAAACTTAAACTAGATCTACTGATTGACTAATTATTACTACAATTATTAAGAGGTGGCCTGGCAGTGGTGGCTTAAAGGTAGCTGAGATACCATCTCACTGGCTATAAACAGGCTGGGTTTCAGCAACCACATCCAACCCCCTGCTGTATCATCAGTTCATGCAGTATGTGGTTTGTCCCATATAAATTCTGCGATGATCGAAACAATTTTAACTAGTAGTTATTAACTTTGAAAGTTTACTCCAAAAGGTTCTAAACTGCATCTTAAATATTAAGTTTAACTGCTTCGAAAATGTCAGAAATTAGCTAAATTATTAACTAATTATTAACTTAAAGGTTTTAATACAGTCATAACAATACTTTAAATGGAAAATATTATGTTAATATATTCCCAGAAGAAGTTTGTTTTTTAGAGAGTGTGTTAAGCCACAGCATGAAATCTACATTATTGCAAATAATTTCGCCCTTTTTTTGGTTCCAAAAAGGACTAATTCTATTTCCCTTTGAACAGTTATGTCTCATTAGTACTTTAAAAATTTGCAGACCTCCTTTGACTCTTTGTTTGTTTGTTTGTTTTTTTTTTGCAAAATGAGATATTTACAAACAAGTCAAATATAAATAAATGGCAGAAAAGAAATGAATATTTCAAGTCTGTATTCTTTTTTGAGAAATAATATATTCTTCTGTTGCTGGCTGCTGGATAATCTATTATGTACATAAAATCTTGCAATGACGCCTCATTACATGTCCTGTACAAGTATATTTGTATTACTCTTAGGTATGTATTTACACCCAGTTCTTTTTATCTCAGTTAATGTATTATATTTGCAGTTAAACTCACTATTTAAAATGTGAGTTCACTATTTGTTTTTTTTTATTTTTTCATGGAAATCCATGAAGTGAGATGCCGAGTGCTGGACACTAGAAATGGAATGACCCTCATTTAGCTTAGTCACTCAGATTAGGAAAGTCTCAAATGCAGGGTCATTAGTCTAAATGTACCGTAAGTCTAAATAGAATAATAGAAATCCCAAAAAAACAGTTGCAAAAATAAACTCACACAAAATATGTATTACAAAGCCATTAGCAGTGTTTCTTTTGGCCCTTCATAAGTGCTTCTGTTTTGGTTGAAAAATGGGACTGGGCCACCCTTTTGATACAGACAGGGGTTCCTTCACTGCTTCCCCTTCAGATGGCTCAAAAAAAAATACAGTATGAAGTGCTTTTCATAAAACTTTAACCCTAATAACAACATTTCAACTTAATCTTTAATATGCAACTTGCCTGAGCTTAAGAGTGTGAAAGGAGACAATGGAAACTTCCTGTTTGCCATATGGGGATGTGCTTTTGCTGCACCCGCGCATGTGTGTGTGCATTCTTTCATTTCTCTTCAGCAGTAGCAAGCTGTCATAGCCAGACTTTGTGGTGTGCCTTCCTCTTCAACTTGAGTCACGGACTGCGGATCAATTTCATTTGACCTGAATTCTGCTACTGTGTTTGCACAGATAAAGTCACCCCGCAGGTTTAGTAACAGAACGCGTTAGATTTTACAGCTGTGCAATTGGGCAGATGTGTTTGTAGACTAATCCAATTGCAAAAGAGCCAAGACAAACACATTGATTCCTCCAAGTGGAGATGAAGACTTTCTGGCTGCACGCGACCCTCCTGCCCCTCTTCCTTTTAGGTAGCGCCCTCCCGGAAAAACAGAACCAGTGCACAGGTGAGTTTTGAGGACCACTAATGGTTATTCAGGTAGCATGTCTTAATATATTTAACGAGAAAATATGCATTACATTAATTTGATTTAAATGCATACATAATTTGTGTGTGACTAAAACATAAACAAAAACATTATTTTGTATTTATGTAGAGTCTATCTCTCTCTCTCTCTCTCTCTCTCTCTCTCTCTCTCTCTCCCTCTCTCTCTCTCTAACCCTAACCCTAACCCTAGATGTATATATATAGATGTATATATGTATATACATTAGTCCTGTATTACAAATTCTTAGTTTTTAATGTAAGTTAGTGTAAATATTTGTAAAGATATTATTTTATTTCTATCAGTTGATTCATCCCATTATTTTTTAGAATGTAAAGGACTTTTTGTTTTGGATGGTGACACTATATATTCATGTTTTTGTTCATATTTTGTACATTTATTATTTATTAATTATATTGATGGTACCATCAGCATAACATATAATATACCATATACTATGATTACGTACTACTATGTACTACATCGTCGCTGTCGAGAAAAACAAATCTTCAAAATGGTAACTTTACAGGAGAGGGCAAAAACGTTCTTTACTTTCAATGTAAGTTAATGGAAAGAGATTTTATTCTAAGCAATTTTGGAGCATTTCTATTGGTCCATTCATCATGACATTTTCGCACAGCGTAAAGGACATCTGCTGAGCTCAAATGTTCAAAAATTGCAAAAATTGGAGATACATGTTTTTCATTGGACAGCGACAATCTACTATTCTCAATCTAAGCCAGGCCCTAAGCAAGCCACTCTTTAAATCCGCATTAATCAAGTTATAAAAAGCATACCTTGGCTTTTTGTTGATGTTTTCACTGCTTGCACCTGTGGTATTTAAAAACAGCTATTGTCATTTTAACATTAAAAAGAGACAATACAGATTATGGAAATTAACCTTTTAATAAAGAGGGTACAGCATTCTGATGCATTTACAAACTATATCATAGAACTTGTGTGAATTGAGATGTACTGAGTATAAAGAGGGTTCATGTGAGGTGATCATGTTAGACAGTATGCAAAAGACGGTGCGTGTGAAAGAGCCTCTGTAGGTTGATGATTCAGGCTTTCCTTGCTTTCTTCTTGCATGTTTTTATTCTGTGTCAGTGATGACATTTCTCCATTGTGTCTGCAGTCCATAACCTTAACAGTGAGGAGGAACAGAGAGAGAGAGAGAGAGAGAGAGAGAGAGAGAGCAGGGTGTTTCAGAATCATTATGATGTGGGGGAAGATGGTGGCATATCACTAGTGTCTTCAGAAGAAGCCTGAGTGTGGAAAGATAAATATTTGGTATTTGAAAGATGGACGCGATTATGTTTCACATCAATTTTCTGAGTACTAGCTCATATGGTCAGATGCTTGCCTTGATTCGAGAAACAGAAAGCAATACATGGCTGAACCCACAACATGCATAACAAGATTTTGGGGGCAGTTCTTGAAATGAGTTTATGCTTCTGTGCAAACGTGCAGTTTCAACTTACTGTTACCTGTTAGAAATAAGCATTCACACAGAGACTACAGAATATAGAGTTTGTTAACATTTATATCTAGACTGGATATTTTAGAAGGCTACAATACCCAAATAAGCCTCCAAGACGCTATATTTTGTAGTGTTCTGTGAACTTCCTGAAAAACCTCAGACGAGTCCTGGCGAGCTATCGTGGGTGTTTTGATGAATGAATTGCGTTCACGTGATTCAACAAAAATAAATGATTTTGGTCAAAGTGAAGGTGAATATGAGCATGTCACCTCATGAGTTCGTCAGCGGATTTTCAGATTCTGGGAGACTGGGAGAACGGGGGGTTAATGGGTATGCCGTTTTAGGCATGCAATTTATGTTTGAATCCCCCTGGTCAATTTACATGTTTTGTTGATTTTCTAAGTGAAAATAACTTAATACATCCTTTACAGAGAGAGAACGCACTCAAATATGTCACTTTTCTGCAAATTTCAGTGCATAATTTCTATTTATTTGAGTTTAACATCTGGAAAAAATGTAAAATGTGCCATGTTCTCTGCAAAGGATGTGTAAAATTACTTTCACTTAGAAAATCAACAAAATGTCATTTAACCAGGGGCACCCAATCTTTCGCATACGCCACTAAATGCAACATAAAAATGATTGCCCTCTCGGCCAACATGCATCCGTTTTGTTAAGAGCTCTGAACGTTACAATCTGATAAGGTGGGGACAACTTTTAGATTTCAGAAATGTGATAAAACACACAAATCAACAAACAAAAAAAGTCTCCCAGAGTAAATACATTATAGAAATGTTTTAAAAATATATTAAAGTCCCAGAGAACACAGAGAAAAATAAAAAAAAATGTTTGTATGATACTGAACGTGTGTTCTATTTAACATCCAGCAAAGCTTGAATGAAAAATATAAGATATAAATATGATAAAACACAGCTTAAAAAAACGCTGCTCAGAGCTATCTGATGAGCAGCTAATGAGCAGCTTGATTGACAGCTCTCTGTCAAAACACTCCTAGCCTGCTCCGCTCATGCAGAACTAAAATCATTGTCTAGCTTTTATGTGACGGTAACTGGACGAAAAAAGTCACAGACGAACAAATGTGCAGATGGACAGATGGACAAAAGAACAAATGGACAAACGGATGGAGAAATAGACGAAAGAACAATGTTGGTGCACGGATAAACGAATAACCAGGCAGGTACAGACAGGTGGACTGGGTTGTTAGATTTTGGTTATGCTGAGTTAGCTTTAGCTTTCTAAGCTTCTCTGACTCTGAAACTGTTTTGTGTGGGCGGGGCAAGAAACGTCAACCTTGTGATTGGCTAGGAAATGCTTACGGTAGCATTACCCAAGATTAGGACCACCCAGTTAGAGAAATATGGTGAAATATGTCGGTTGTTTATTGGTCATTGGAACATTATTCAGAGGGTATATTTAGTACATGTTTACTGCAAGAACAAGATTAACATAATTGGAAAGAAAACACAGATTTAGGTTCCCAGGGTCTTTTATTGTAGTTACTAGAAATCGAAGTCGGCTACATTTAGACTGATCATTTGAAAGCCAAGAATGATTAATGTCAGCTAGCTAACATGAAGTAAATACACAGTTGTGACCTGATGTGGGAGAGATCGATTGGCACATGGCCAGCCTGCCCAAATGTAGAGTTATTGTCACAAACATATGTTATTGTTACACTGCACACATACTAAGTACTAAATACTAAATAACACAGCTATATTTCAGTGTTTATGTTGAATTTGTTGGCCTTTTGATGATAAGCAAGTCTGTCTGAGAATGAAAATAACAACATTTGAACCAGACTTTTAATGCATTAAATATTACGTTTTAAATATGCAGCATAAATAGGGGACTTTTTTTTCCCAGGTATAGGAGTGTATACTTTTTCCACCATTGTTCACTACAACATTCCTGGCGTTTAATTGATTCAGTAATGTTATTTGGTTGCTATTTAATGTTTATAATTGTGCTCTGATTATTTCTATTCATTGCTTCATTCTTTTAAATTATAGCATTTTGACATTGTGCCAGTCATCCCTATAATGGACCAACCATCCATGTTTTGGCTGGTTGGCCCAAGTGCACAACATGAATTGAGTGTTGAATGCACTAATTCCAGGAAATATTCTCTGACATTGTATATGTCTGTTTTTAGCTGAGATGTTCAGCTTTCATTTGCTGCTAGTTGAGTTTTGCCAGTGCATGGTATGCCTGGGATATATGGCAGAGAGTGCCAACCAACCCCCCTTTCCTCTATTTTTCAGTAGCAGGTAATAATACAGTGTGTAGCAATATAGTCACCTTCACATAATGTAAATATACCGATTTACAGCACAGCCAATCCAAAAACTATTGATCTATTAAACTAATTTCAGGTAATATGGTAATAAATAATCAGGTAAAAAGTCATTAAATATCATTAAACTGTTGAAACATATTCCTCAAATCAAACTCCTAGAAGGCATTCAGCAGATGGCATTTGTAGACACTGCATGTGCTTAGAACCAACTGTACATCCAGAGCGCCTTTCTAAACATCCTGACTTTTGGTTTCCCTTTCTGTTCTAGGTAGCACCCCACAAATTCGGCGAGTGGTGGTCAATGGCAACGTTTCTGTGCCTTGTCCCTGTTTTACAGGACAGGAGATGTCCTTCACATTGCACACGGGCGCAGAGAGTATCACCGTGCACAGGAACTTCACTAATGCAAAAGAGCTAAATGAGAAAGAAATGAAGATTAGTCACCATTTGACCGAGAACAACTGTACAGAGTTTGTCCTCTTCAATGTGATGGAGAATGTGACGGGGCTGTATGTCTGTGAGGCACAAAAGACCTACCCCCCTCCAATACTGAATTCCAAAGAATGTCCACAAACCATAGTGATAGTGGAAGGTAGGGTTGGATGTGTTCATTGTTCAAGTTTGCCAATATTTTGTATTATTGTTTTTTTTTAAACATCCCCATAGATGATATTATCGTGTGTATTTGACAAAAGAAAGAGCAGTGGTTCTCAAACTAGTCCTCAAAAACTCCCAGATGGTCCATGTTTTTGCCCTAAACTTGCTTCCACCACACCTGAACCAGATGTTTAAGGCCCATATCCTGTATTTTTCTTGTATTTTGTGAGTTCAGGCAATGCCTTCAACATGGTGCTAGTATGAAGGAAGACTGATTGAGGGAGGGCAGAGAACTCTGAGAACTTGGGCTGTAGTTCTGGGGAGCCTCTGCCTGTAGCTAAAAGGCCAATGCCAATTTGTGTGGTTTTATGTTTTAAAACAGTTGCAATTCATGTTTTCAACCATTTTCCAATGTCTCTTTATTCCTTAGAAGTAAACAGTTTTTGTCACTGTGTCTGTTACTATAAATATTTAAGTTACCTCTGTTCTGATTGGCTGCCCTGTTTTGCGCCTCATTCAAAAAGTAGTTCAGGCTCCCTATAACTTCAGCATGAGTGGCTGGGCTAAACTGTTGTAAGGCAGATATGTGTAAATTTGTTGTTTTTTGTGACATCAAAAAGTTTAACAATACACACTACATCAAACTCTCATATTTAAAAAGTGATATGGGCCCATTAATAGTTTGGTTCAGGTGTGTTGGGAGTTGGGATAGAGGAAAATGTGGACTGTTTGGGGGCCCTAAACACCCGTCTTTGTGATATACTGCATCCCATAATGTAATGTGGCCATTTCAGGAGGATGTAACTATGGACATAACCACCTGTGGCCTTGTAGTAGGGGACATGGTACATAACATTAACTATGGCATACTGGATACTATACTGCCTAATAATACGGCAAGTAGCTTGCAGTATATAGTGTATAGTGGTACATGCAGAATACGGTACACCAGTGGTCAGTTGGAATTGAACTCCGCAGGAAAGGAGTGGCTGGGTGACCGCTGCATTACATGGTTTGCTTTCAAACATGGTTTAAACAAGAGTTTAGTGTGTGGGTGCTTGTTTCCACAGAGCTTAAGCTGATTCATCAATTGCGCTCCGAGATTATGTGACAGTTTTATGAATCAGACGCTGTGAGTAATTCGTATGCCATTTTGTACACTCGAAAACACTCCAAACATTGTTGAATAAGGACCATTGAGCTTTAATATTTAAAAGTAGCTTACTTCACTGTGGGTAAACAAACACTTTTCTGTTGCAGTGTAAACCATTATTGCTTTTGTACTCTCACGTTTGTATGTGGTGCTTCTGGCAAACGCTCTGCTAATGGTTGGTTGAATCTGACTTTGATTCGTCAACAGTTTTGTTCACACTGTGAACGTGCACATACAAATGAGCGGTAAAGTTCACCGCAAAAAAAAAACATTTCTCACTGTTAACATCGCAACTATATTATCGTTATATCACCCAAGCCTATTTGACTGTTTCTAAAGAATACAGGGGTTGGGCAATGCACGCTTTACTTTTTATGCCCTTAAAATGTCATGCAGTCCGTTTGAATGTTTTTGAAAGTTCTACTGCAAGCAAAATTTGTAGAAAAGCAAAACCACCAAGCACCGTCCCATATGTCGTTCTCTGAGTCACACTTCTCTTTTTCTTGTCTCTAGAAGAGCATCAGCTACAGCGGTGTGATAATCCTGCCGATCACCTCTCCCTTTGGGTGGGGCTTGGGGTGCTAACAATGTACGGCCTGATCATCACTTATGCTGCTTTTTCACTCAGGGTAAGTGATGCCAGTTCAGAAACTGCAATATCACCAAAATCTCACTAAAAATGCTGCACTAAAAATGAAGAACACTAAATAGTAACTTATACAGTGTTGATTTAAGTAATATAGACACCAAAAGGTACTTTTAGATGTCTCATTCAACAGAGGCCCCAAAATGGAACCCTGTGGCACCCCAGCTTTAACAACAATCTTCTTATAAAATAACCTTCAGTTAACTTAAAATCAGTCAGAGAGATAAACAGCTCCAATTTTGAATGTTTCTGCAGATTGTTCCAAGTTGATGGAGCGCTACTACTATCAGATTATTATTGGGACATCAAATTAAATATAACCATTAGAACGTAGATCATATGGAGTCTTGTTTGTTAACGAAGGAAGATGATCAATAACAGCTTAATTAATACTTAACCTTTATTTTACATGCCGACATGTGTGTGCGTGTGTGTGTGTATAGATATACATATATATACATATATATACATATATATACGTATATATATATATATATATACACACACTTCCTTTGTCTAACATACAGTTTAAAAGATTGTCATCATACATAAAATATATATAAGATGAAAGTAATTCTAATGGTCTTTCATGCAATGTGTAAATTTGTGGCCAAGATGATCTCTGTGTCAAATTTGTAGGGAATTACATAAATTTTGTTTTTTGATCACTGAAGAATTCTTTTCTGAAATCTAAGATTGTGCTGCACAGTCACAAATGCTTCCTCTACGTTTGGTGATGGAACAGAACAATAAATAATGGTTTTATCTGTATAAACATGCATATAAACATTTTAACCTTTATTACAGAGATAATTAATATTTATACCGTTAAGAAAAGAGGCCCTAAAATGGAACCCTGTGGCACCCAACCTTTAACAACAACCTTCTCAGACAGAAAAACTCCAGAAAATCCCTGTTAGGCTCTGCCCCTGTTTGATTGAAGTATTTTGATAATAGCAAGAAGTTATTAAATGATAAGAAATATCATCTGCTGCCAACAGTGTTGGGATAGCTACTCAATGTTTTACTTCTATGTTCTTTAAAACCCATACATATCCATACAAATTGGAAAATGTAAGGAAAAATGATGTTTAATGCTTTATATAGAAAGAGATTATTAGTCACAGTAAACATCATTCGAAAGCCATGGCAAAATCCCTGTCTTTGTTCTAAATGAGACACTTGATTTATTGTTTGATTAAAATGAAAACTGATAAAGTAGCTGTTGTTTTTTAAACAACTGCCTCTTTAATACATTTTTGCTGGCTTGTAACACACCTCTACAAGGCATGGTCTTAATGGCCTGGTTCAGGTGTTTTTGGAGCTGGGTTAAGGCAAAAATATGGACTGGCTAGGGGTCCCTTAGGTGTGATTTGAGAATTATTTGTCTGCATGCTAATGGTTTTAAGCTACACTCATAAAAAAGATGATTCTTCAAGGGATCTTTAGTAAAGACAATGGTTTATATATAGAAGCGTGAACACTCCATTTGCATGCTTAAAGAGTTCTTTGCATTGCTTTGCATGGTTCTTCAGATTGATAAAAAACCCAAAAATGTTTTTCTATTGTTCCAAGCATGGCATCATAACAATAGCAGAACGCTTTTTGGTGCTATATAGAACCATATACAACACATTCTTCATCAATCTGAAAAATGATTTCATAATGCAAAGACACTTTTAAGCATGCAAATGGTTTGTGGTTCAGGAACCTTTAAAGAACCATCTTTTTTTAAGAGTGATCTTTCGTATTGGACTTTTAGCAATGGATATGCATGCACAAATCCTCAGCCACCTCACCAAAGTTTGCATCCCCATAATTTTCCATTTCTAATCATTTTTTGCCATTGTATCCATCTCAGTTTGGAATATGAAGGCTTCTAGATTTAATTTCATTCTTGGTCCTCTGGCTTTCTCAGGCATTTTAGGGGATTTGAACCCTATAAAGATGCAGAGTAGCAGCATATTGTCATTTTAGAACTATGTTATGCATCTGCAATCAAAATGGTATTATTATTATTTATTACTGATAACATTGATTCCAAACATTTCAATGGTAATATACACAAGTGTCCTGTATAGTTGGTCTGAAAGTCTATTAGAAAGGCTAAATATTGTAATAGGTTGGGTACGTTCAGGATCTCCATGATGTTTCTTTCTGTTTGGCCCACAGTCCCGGCTGACAAGAGTGGACTTTAACAAGCATGATTATATGAACATGAAGCCCAATACACGACGGAAAAACAGGAGGATCATTCTCCCGGTGCGGCAGAGCTGGAACAGCAAAAAAACAGAAAAAGAAAAAGACAAGTGCTCTACCAAACAAGTGCCGAATTAAACTGAACTACACTGCCATCTACTGAAACACTCGGGTGGGGGGTGATACCCTGAGACAAGTGAACGGTCTGAGTCTGTTCTTTTGTAACTGTGCAGATACTGTAGCAAAGCTGTAAGATAATGATGGGCCTCTGGTTTTATATGTTTTCTTTCTGTGTGGCTTGAGAGTGATCCCTCTGTAATTTGTTATGTCTTTGTTGATAATAAACATGTGTAGGGATAGTACATGTTTCTCTGTCTCAGTCAATATAATGGTGCTCTGGAAAATGTTATGTGGTTACCAGGCCTGTGCACAGACATTGTGGAGGGCCTGAATATGAATTAAACTTCATTTCATGTACAATGTATTGCCTATCATTGCTTATAAGCTTATCATGTTTCAAACATCAAGGAAACAAACATAGAGTTCAGAGTTTTTCCCAGACTTTTAACAAAAAGGTACAAGAAAGTACAGAAAAAAAGGGTAAGATAAACATGCATAACACATATCTACATGCATAACACATTAAAGAACCAGTTACATTTTCATGATATGCATTGCTGGGAGGGAGCTACACATGAACAAGAAGCATCAATGCTATATTATTTATAATACCTTCTTTATTAGAGACATGCATGCAACTGCATGCAAATCGAATTCATAGTTTTTGATAGTATTAAGGATTTTGCATCTCCCGTATCCGGTTTCCTCCCACAGTCCAAAGACATACAGTCAGGCCACTTGAACACACTAAATTGCCCCTAGGTGTGAATGTGTGTGTTATTGTGTATGTCTGTGTCTGCTTTGTGATGGACTGGTGACCTGTCCATGGTATTCCTTGCCTTCCGTCCAATGACCACTGGGATAGGCTCCAGCACCCCTCGCGACCCAGAAGGATAAGTGAGTGTGTGTGTGTGTGATAGTATTAAATATGGCACTACTTAATCTGTTCAATCTTATCAGATGACAATTAAGAAACATTTAATATCAAAACATATTGTATATTGTGAAAACTTTTTAAAGTATTGTGATATTACACTTTTGCCATATCGCCTACCTCTACAAATTGATATACAGAGTTTTGGAAACCACTGCTTTTGCTGAAGAATGATTGAAAAAACACCTTAAAAGGGTATAAATAAAATTACTGGTCAAGCAGGGATTGGAACCTCACTCTCAAAATTTTCCACAGTCAGTCGCTACTGCACCAGAGGGGGCACTCAGGAGCAAAGATGTGGTAGAAGTGGTAATATTAAACATATTAAAATGATTATACCAAGAGAGCACTTGTACAGTCTAAGGCCCATGTGTCAAACACAAGGCCTGCAGGCCAAGTCAGGCCTGTAAAACAGGCTTATTTGGCCCTTGAAATTATTTTAATTTTCTATTCTTATTAGTCATTTTAGCCTGAGATGCACTACAGTCCCCAGTATGCACTGCAACATAGTGTGCATTCTGACCCTCTTCCACCAACAACAGTCCATGGGCCAGCAGTTACACAAAAAGAAAATATGCCTGGTGTCTAGTTCAAGCAAATAGGCAATTAAAAAAAATACCTACAAATTTTTTTTTTATTTAGAATTATTTGTGAATGAGTATTCAGTGTCTATTTTGCTGTTGCAGTTTTGGCATATTTTGAATGCGTAATGGCCCGTTTGGGTCATGGCAAAATGTTAAGTAAAGATGAAATAAAAACACAGCTGGCCCACGGATTTGCTGAGATTTTTTAATATGGCCCTTTTAGTGATTGAGTTTGACACCCCTGGTCGGGCAGAAAGGCAGTCCACTCATGTAAGATGAGTGGATATAGTGGAATGAAACATCCTTTCCTTGATTCTGCCTGATCCATACCTGTGACGTCACTTAATATTTTTGTAAGAAGAGCTGATTTCTTCTTCTTCTTCTGTCCACTCGAGGGCGACAGAGGACTTTATAAGTCTCTAAAGTTCTCTAAAAAGCCAGCCCCGGTCACCCCACCGACCCACCACACGCTGTCAAGCATTTTTTTTTTAATTTCCACCTGTATTCAGCCATCCCCCTTCTCTCTGGAAAGTATGTAATTCACAAAACATAACTACAGCATGAATTATTAGTAAAGTAAAATCAAAATAAAAGCAGGGGTGGTATTAACCTCTAGCCAACCCTTCAGTAGGAAAAGCAATACTAAGGGAGGGAACATAAGAGTAGAGGTCTGGACTGCTGGCCAATCCCAGTGTAGGAGGCAGGACGCTGCTGTCCAATCGGGGTTTGTGAAAACCTGGGAGGATGAAATAGTAATAAACTCAAAAAATAAATATATGAAAAAAAAAATTAATAATAAATAACAATAGGCTGAGGATCAACTATTAGCCAGTCCTAGAGTAAGAGGCGAGGCTATAGTCTTCAAAGGTTCTTTAGTAAAGGGAATGGTTCTATTTAGAACCAGGAGTTCTATATAGAATCATTTCATACTTAAATTGTTCTTTGCTTGGTGAAAAAGTTCTTCAGATTGATAGAGAAGGTGTTGTATATAGAACCTTTTTGAAACTTCTATTGGCACGAGCTTGACGGAATAGAAGAACTCTTATTGGTGCCATATAGAACCATTTTCTAAAAGGTTCTATACAGAACCCTATGGATCACATTCTCCATCTATCTGAAGTATGTTCGCCATGCAGAGAACTATTTAAGTATGAAATGATTATATATAGATCTCATGCTTTTACCTAGATCAGTTTTCTTTATTAGAGGGTCCTTTTTTTAGAAGTAAGCTACTAGCCAATCACAGCGCAGGAGGCGGGGTTTGTGGCTCTCTTTCTACACGTTTTGGGAGGAGAATTGTCTCTGTTCTGAAACACAGCACATAACTAACACACGGACTCAGTGAGAAGGACTCCCAACAGTTTCACTGACGGACTCTTCACCACTTAGAGCGAGACGACTGTACTGAACACGTCCTCCTCCAGCAGACTGCAGTACAGAGCTCCCTCTCTCTCTCTCTCTCTCTCTCTCTCTCTCTCTCTCTCTCTCTCCCTCTGAAAGTGAAGTGGAGAGCTCATTCAGACTCAGTCAGCAGTGAACACAACTAACCCACACCGGGAAAGTCAGTTACAGTAACAATACCCAAGTTTTCAGTTCCTCTGCTCGTTCTGGGCTGAATGTGTCGGTGGAGGCTCACACACGGAGCTGGAGATGGATGTGCAGAGACTGAATGAAAGTCAGTCAGCGGTGTGGGAGTGCGGTGCTGGAGCTGGAGCTACTGCAGAAAACTCCTCAGCCACACTGGAGGTGAACGGCACCTGTAGCAACGCGTCCATAGCAGCCCCCAAACTCCAGCCCACTCGACAGAAAGGTGAGTTTTTTCTTCTGTCTTTTAAGGCGGATTAAATGAGTTCTAAGCTGTTGAGTGAATAAAGCTACATCTCCTTACACGTTGTTGCGCCAGTGAGTGAAACGGTCAAGTAGACCAGTGAAATCAGGTTTAGTGTTTCAGTGTTTCAGAGGCTCAGGAAGAAAATCTGGGGTTTTAGTACGTGTTAGACCTTTTTCATGCATCTAGAACGAGGATTTCATATAATGGCATCTTGTATGACGTATTTACATTATCTTGAGTATTTTTGAATATATATTCATTCATCCTCTGCTGAAAAAAAACTATAGAAATGATTAAGTGTTGGTTCCTAATGATTTTGTTATGTGTTTTGGCTTTTTTAATGGGTTGGTACCACAATGTAAAGGATCATAATGGTGACCAATGGCTGATTCTAAACGCATTTGATGGTTTCCTAACAGAATAAAAAGATGTTCTACAGGAAACTAGTGGTATCTAAAACTAGTGGTTTTAATCCTTTTCTGATGGTCCTTTTTGAGCAGGGTTATCATCCCAAAAAATAACCGTCTTGCTCAAATTTAGCAAATTTGGTTTTATTGTCATGGATGGCTCCGGCAATATTTTCCAATGTCAAAATCTTTCCTTTACTAAAATTTACTGTAGTTATACAACACGAGACTATATTGTAAAACCAATAATATTCCTGTTGTGCTGTATGGGACTTGTATATAATCTGTATTTTGTGTTCATCTCTCTGTAATATTCCTGTTATACTGTTGTATAGTTGATCTGCACTGTCTGTGTAGTGTCTGTAGTAAAATACAATAACTGAATTTGCTCTAGGTTTCTTATAAGAATTCTGTAGAAATGTATCTACTATAACTATAAATCTTTTTCATAAAGATTATCTTTATGAACCCACATCATGTTAACACCATGACTTTTCATCACTGTACTGCATGTAATTGCAGTCTGTGAAGACCCATGGTTGCGTCTATGAGCTAAAAAAGCCTACCAACATCACTGCCTTCCGCTATGTCGATGATAGGAAACCCCACAGGGGTCCCTCGGCGCACTTTGCCAAAGTATTTTCCGTCCTAATTGATTCAAACATGTAGCAGCTTGAAAATAGTAAGAAACACTGGGAAGAAATTCAAAAGAAAGTGTTTTAAGTCCAAATATGCACCAGTGCTGTGTTTGTCTGAGAAGCCTTTACATAGATTTCCAAGCATGTTCTAATTAGACTAGATTTACTTATCGCAATATGTTTCTTTCCACATTACTGTCAACTGGAAGGATTGCCCTTTTGACCCGCATCTTTTGGCAGGAAAACAGGTTAACTAAAGTATTTCATCTATTCTAATTTAAATAGCGGCATATTATCATTCATGGTCATAATCTTAATTATTATCATTACTGTTATCATCATCCATCAATATGAGTCGCTGAAATACAGGCAAGAGATAAAACCAAGAAATAATTGGTATAGAACCTTTATGAACCTTTATGTGGGAGTTCTTAAACCCATAAAAAGGTTCTTCACACTCGCACATCTCAATTACAAGATTGCTTCATAAAGAACCATCCATTGAAGGGTTCTTTGGAGAACCTAAAATGGTTTTAAAAAACCCTGTTTAGCACCTATTTTTAGGAATGTTGTGCAATGATTCTGAAGGATTCTGTGCTTTAAAGCATTTAAATGGTTTGCTCTCCTTTCATAGACAGTTGTTGAATATCAGTGAGTGCGTTTACATGCACTCAATAATCTGATCATTATCAGATTTCTGCAGTTATCTGATTGTTCAAATAGTTATGTAAACAGCATACTCCGATCTAGAAATCCGATATAGAGAGCTGGATTTTAGCTCAACAGTCGGATTTCTCAGTGCATGTAAACTCTTACTCGGATTTCTTTCAGATTTCTTAGTCTGCACATGTGCGAAACAGACCAGAAATAAACAAAGAGCGTTGCTGTGAGATGGAGCGACGATGAAACCAACTACATCCTTGACAAAACGAGGGCTTTAAATATTCTTTATTTTGTAGATGGTTTACGTTAATAGTTTCAGGTAAAGTGGCACGATGTTTTTTTTTAAAGCCGCAGCATGAAGTCTGGGTTTACGTTTTTAGGTCACGTCTTCTTCAGTGAGTTTATTGGCTGGTTGCAAAGCAGAAATCTGATTACTGCCTGACTCATGTAGAGTCGGAGTTTCACATTATCTGATTACTCACGTGCAATATATTTCAAGTGCAATATAAACGTGTTGATCAGATTACTGACAAAATCTGATTTTCTGCAGTTATCGGATAATTAAGTGCGTGTAAACACACTTATTGTTTCTTAATTGCTAATAACAATGCTTATGCTTAACATAATAACATTGTTCCAAAATAAGTCATTGCAAATGTACCGTGCCACAAATACCTATCAATGACACATACCGTGCCTCATATTAATCTCAAAGGACTTCTTTACACAGTAAAAAGTGCATGTAAGAGTAATAAAAGTACCTTTCATTTTAGATCATGAACTGAGGGAATACCGGCCCACTAGTGTTGCGTTTTTATTGGAAGCAAAGCACAGAACCTGAATGACAGTATTTTCTTTTGCTATCATTATTTTGACCACTATATCACAGTATTAAGATAAAATCTCCTTTGCTAACTCCTTGGACACAGTAAAAGTCTGTGGGAGTCTGTCTTATCTGAGCTGCTCAGCTTGCTCTGTTTATGAGTTTGGCTTAGGTTGATTTCAGAAAATATGAGGACAGGCAATTAGGTCTGGTGTGACAGAAATATTGAGGCAGGAGCCATCCAGCCACAGAATGGTTCAGATTAAAACTATAAAACATACTCTCAGTGGAACAGAGAGAGAGAGAGTGACAGAGGAAAAAGAGAAAGACGAAAGTGAGAGGGAGAGAGAAAGAGAGAGAGATGAGAACCACTGACGCATGCCGAGTCTTTCCAGTGCTTAGATGTTTAGTCTCAGCCTCATGCTTTTGAGAGAGCTGGCTTTCTGAAGAGAAGCAGTAAGCTACATGCTCAATCCTTGCCAAGATCCTGTGGGTAATAATCAAAAAATGCCCCTGTCCCTGTAGCATGCATTGACAGGTGTCGAGCCAATTTGGGTGGAAATAGACAAACAGATTAGGGACAGACAATTTGGGCCAGAAAATATAAAAAACAGGGATAGAAACATCTGTTCCTAATTAGGTCTGACTATCAAAATTCACTATTTTTGTGCTACTGACTAAATTGCTCTACCGAGTAAATACTACAGGGTATTGAATCATGTCAAGTCTTTCAAGACATAATTTCAATACTTATGTAGTTGTATCAGCATCTGTGAGCCTATAGGCATGCTTGTTCCAAAATCCAGTCTTCTGATTGGCTGTCAAATTATCAGGACTGAATCAGTAATCATCTTTAGATCACAATCACAGTTTGAAAGATTGTAGTTTTCAAATGACAAGAGCTATAATGTTAATTATATCCTACATTTTTCACAGTTTCATTAACAAGCTTTAAGTGGACAAATTGAACCTATTTAAGCTTGCACTGGCGGTCTGGCACACTATATTCAGCATTCAAGTTTTAAGCCTGAAAAATGGGTGTATTGGTCCTTCTGGCAAAAAAAAGCCCTGGAGCTTAATTTGAAAAAATAATCACATATTGGTCAGAAAAATCACAATTTAATATTTTCCACAAAACTTTCTGCCCTAATAAATTTTGCCCACTATGCATGTTATTAGCATGAGCTCATCTTGATTAGTCTGCAGTTCATTGCGTTCAGCAGCCCTGTCCCAAATGGAGCCCTAAGCCCTGCGGTCTTCCTCCAAGACCACACCAGCAACGTGGGGATGTTGAGTGTAAGAGACCTCGAGGGCTCTAGGTTTAAAAGAGTGCATTTGGAAAAGATTCATGTGACAGGCAGGCTCTGCATGTGAGATTATGTAATGGGTCATACTCATTTAAATAAACCAATGTGCTTATCTTCAGTGTCTCAATATAGATTACAAAGAAAATGCAGCTCAGCAAAAACCTTTTAGCTCACATCTGTATGTCTTCTTTTCTGCCACATTGCTGTAAACCAAACCATCCAGTCTGACTGGTTCTATCTCGAGGAATTTTGGTTAAGGAGCAGCTGCTGAGTCCACATTGATGCAGTCCTGCCAAAACCCGGACTGAAGCCGGCAGTATATTTCAAACAAAAATGACATTTTGAAGCAAAACTGCGTCTTTTTGGACAAAACATCACAGTAGTTTGAGTTCGAGGAGTGTGGTGTGTGCTGCTTGCTGAACAGAACTCCTTATCATGGTGTCATTTGTTCTGAGAACTCTGAGAACCCCCCTTGGCAAGATTGGTCCACTAGACAAGCTGAGACAAGTTCTTTTAAGTAAACTTATTACACTGTGTTCAACAGTAGTTCGATTTCATCTTTTGAAGAATATTGCCAGCTTAAGGGCACATAGAGGGCACTTGTATGTAACCTTTTGTATGCCAAAATGAGAAATGGGACACCCTGTGCTGCACCATTTGGAACAGGGCTAGTAAATTTCCACTTGTTTAGGCCACACCCACTTTTGGTTTCAGTTAAAAGTAGCATAGTTTGTAATGAAGTCAAGGTACCCGTTAACAACCAGAGAACCCCAGTTCACAATGCAGTGCAAAAGGATGGAGCAAAATTGTGGACCCTCTGAGGGACCTTGTTAACCAGTTTGAAGATTACTGACTATTCTCTATTCCTAATGCATGAGGGTCTTTCTGGAGATTTAAGTCATCATTCACAAAAATAGATAAAATCCTGAAGATTTAGGTTAAACCCAAAAGCAACTCATAACTCAATCCATTTTTGCATTGTTTCAAGTAATTCTTACCTTCATTCTTAAAAAATAAAGGTTCCTAAATCATTCTTGGCTTGGATGGTTCTAGTTCTAGGAAGAATGTTTGGTATAGAACCTTTGCATTATGTGGAGCAGCTCTTTAAAAGGGTTCCTCACACTCACATTTTATTTATAGA